TCAGAAAGTACGCCACGACGTACCGCGAGTAGTCGTCCACAAAGGTCAGCACATACGCGCCACCTCTCGACTTCGTCTTCATAGGTCCCATTACATCAGTATGAACCAGTTCAAGTGGCCACCGAGCCCTCGTTAGCGACTGGGATAGAAACCTCGCCACCATCTGCTTGCCCTTCATACAGCCACCACACAGCTTCTTGGCCCCCTGTCGAGCCCTTGTTGGAACCCCAGTAGTGGCCTGTTGGGTCTTCACGAGCGAGTCCTCGTTCAAGTGTCCCATACGAGCGTGCCAAAGCTCCCACTCACCACCGACGTCTGAGTACTCGGTGTAGTAGGCCGCGTCTTGCTCGCAGTCCAACACGTATGCTTTACCACTTTTCTTCCCCGAGGCGATCGCCCTCGCCTTATTCCAGATGACGCACGACTTGCGCTGGAACTCGACGTTCATGCCTCGTTCGGCCAGCTTGCCGACCGAGAGTAGTCGTCGATCGAGGTCGGGTATGTGAAGGACATTCACCATCTTGATGCGGTTGCCGTCGGTGCCTGTCAGCCGCACCGAGCTAGTTCCAGCCACCCGAATCTTCTTCCCATCCGCGACGGTAACATACATGCCCACCGACACGTCCTGATACTTGAATATGTCATCACGGTACGGCGTCATGTGAGCAGTCGCTTCACTGTCGATCAGCCACCCGGCCGACCGATTCTTCCCAACAGCGAACACCGAGTCCTCGTTGACGTCGTCTTTGACATCAGTGACCGTGCCGCCATCCATACCAGTGACCACCGAGTTCTCGTTGGTGTCACTGTCGACCATAACAGTGAACACCGAGTCCTCGTTGGTGTCACCGTTTGTCCCATCAGGACAGTCCCGCTTCATGTGACCCACGCGTCCACAGTTGAAGCACTTGCCCTTAAAACCAGCGAGCCCTCGCCCGCCGTTGCTCCTGGAGCCGCGGAGTCCTCGTCCACCGTTGCCTCTGGGGCCACCGAGGCCTCGCTCGCGGCTGCCGAGTCTTCCGTTGTTGCTTCTCCCTCGGAATGAGGCCCTCAGTGCGCGCTCCGTCGCTTCTTTCTTCTCCTGCCGCTCGTATTCCTTGAGCAGCTTCTCCTTGACCTCGATCAGCGTCACGTCTCGTGTATTCTCCACGATAGACGCGATCAGCTCGTACTCATCAGGCAGACTGCTGATTAGGATGACGAGTTGTCGGCTCTCATCCAGCGGCTCACCGAGCGTTTGCAGTCCCACGATGAGATCGGCGAACCTGTCCAGGTGCTGAGCCATCGTCGAGCTCTCCTCCATCTTGAACTCGTGGAGGCGACGAGTCATCGTAACTCGGTTATGCATCGTCGTCCGGTTGTAGAAGTCGCGCAACGTAGTCCAGGCCTGCATGGCCGTCGTTGCCGACCGAATCTTCGTGTGGTGTTCCACAGCCACACCTTGAGCAATCAGACCGAGCGCCTTCATGTCGTTCAGCATCCAGGCCTCGGTCATCTCCGCCGGGTCTTTCACGACTTGAACGTGCGCCAGTAGCCCCTTCCTCGCGAGCGTCATACGCATCGCGAACTCCCAATGGAAGTAGTTGTCACTCCCCAGGATGACTTCAGCTTTCTTGGCGGTCGTGGTCATGCCAGTCTTGTAGCTTGCGCGTCTCGCGGCTGTTAACCTGTTGGTTTTGAATGCTCGTTGTAGGGGG